ACTAAAAAAAAAAAAGAATCTTGGTCCAGAAGAGAACTGCAATACTTCCATGATGAACCAAAAAAAAAAAAGTCTAAGTTCAGTTCACGCTTCAGTCACTTCAATTAACAAAATTTGCCCCAAATCACCTAAATTAAAAATAAATACTTTTAAAGCAGTTAGTATAAGTAAGAGGGGGGAAAGGTTTTAGTTCAATTACCTTGACTTCATCCACATCTACAAGCAGAAAAAGTATATCCTGATAATTCATGGCCAGCTCTTCCACATAGGAGTTCATGGCAAGAGATGGAACGCACCATGAAGCACTGAAATGAACAAAAACCTGCCAAAAAAGGAACAGAAAGCCATGAACAACCAAGAAATTAAAATCCAGTACAAATTCGAGAACCCTAAAGTATAGAACTCCAAAAAAAATAGAGAAAGATTACAGGGGAACCCTGACTCTTGGCCTGAGCCATGAAGGACTCCCATGACTCCCCGGATTCCACCTTCAAAACCCTAGACTTGGATATCTGCTGCCGGGCCTCCATCACTGCAAAAATCCTTCTTCGCACCTTCCTTTCCCCCCTCTCCTCTTAGTGGGTATTTAAACATAAACGTATACTACAAAGGAGTTAAATAGTTTTCAAAGTTTTGCCCAAAGGAGAAAATATTACGTAATATTTAATCTTTATATTAAAAGTTTAACACATAATTATTTTTATTTTTTAATAAAATCACTCTTAAAATAAAAAAGCATAATTAAATTTAAAATAAAATGCTGAAGAAAGTAATCATTAACTTTTTTAGATGATAGGAATATAAATAAAAAAAATTGATGAGTAATTTCATAATTATTAAAAAAATAACTAAGAGTAATAATTTAGCCCATGATATTCTCATCAATATATATAGTTTAAAAAGTATATATATTTGTTATTATGATGTCCTAAAATTTAATTTGAAATAATTATTTTTTTATCTTTTAATATACAATAACTAGAGCTATCTAATTTCTTTTATCAATATAAATACGAAAATAAAACTATTGATTAAAACATCAATATATTCATTTGTATTCATTTTCTTAAAAATCATGTACACTACTTAGGATCTATATCTTGATATTATAAGTACTATATCTTAAGTATAAAAGAATAACTAAAATAACAATGACCTGAGCCTGAATGATTCAGATTAATCTCACACTCATGCTCCTTTGCTCTGATCATGAATCATTTAACAACATATAATGAGGTCAAGAGCACAACAAGTAACATGTAGTAGGCAGTAACAATAAAATTATGATAATTGCATGAGTACAATCAAGCAGTAAAGAAATCATATAGGGTGATAAAAAATAAAGTACCAGTAAAGAAATGTCAAACTCAGATCAATGATGTAAAATCTTTTAACGATGCACACATACTATCTAGTTAGTCTATTAGTATTATATTGGTATCTTAATCATATGCTCTGTTGTCGTATACGTTGTGCTTAGTATGTCACATGCTCAGTATCAATAATCAATATAGTAAATCAATAATAGTAACAGTAATAATAAATCAATATTAATATCAATAACAGTTCAATAATATTATCGGTGTTTGTATCAGTATTAGTAAATCTAGTGGCACTAGCGATAAAATAATGCAATAACAGTAAATTTGTATAGTAACGGTAAATTAACATAGTATCATTAAAGTCGTACAATAATAATGAATTCATAACATTATTTCAGTAGTCACACTAAACAATTAAAAAATTCTAGCTATTATGATATTTTTCACTAGTTACTAATAAATAATCAATAACCATTTACTTAATAAGCAAAGTAATCACTCTTTGTCCATCGGCACAATAATCATTTTCTCATAACACCTAATCAGTATCATGTGAATCAGTAGAGGATAACACTAAACCATAGTATTTAAAGGAAATGTCGTCGGCCCACCATCCTATACATGTCAGTCAGTTTCCAACCAACGTCAGTGAAACTAGCTTTTACATGTCCTCACACATATTATTATCATAGTAAAATAACAATAATACTAACCAACTATTACTCAACTACATAGCATCATTCATTTTCAATACTTGTATTAATATTATATATGCTTACAGTAAATCTATAAGTTATTTAATTAGTAGAAACAATATAAAATACAATAACTTTTATTTTACCCGATGAAATTCAATAAATATTATAGTCAAAATATCAATGATAGTCAGTACGATAAAATACAAAAAATGCAATAAATATGAGGAAAATGTAATAAAATCAGTTCTGAAAAAAATCAAACAGTTAAAATTAAAATCTTTAAAAACAAATATATGATTAAAATCACCTACAGTGATCTGAGCAATTTCTACAAAAGCGGCAAAACAATCCGTCCGAAAAAAATTGGCTTTGTGCTGCAATTCAATAGGAATTCAAAATTTTTTTATTTTCAATTATTTTCAGAATGTCGAGAGAGTGACAATGGGTGGTGATGGATAAAAATTATGAGCAGACGCAACACAGGATTTGAAAATTATTTGAATTGGATTATTTTTAAATCCAACAAAAATAAAAATTTTAATAGTTTAAATATCTTAATTTTTTTAATGCGCCTAAGAAATTAAATATGGATTTTTAGAAAAATCATTCATTTGATTGGAAATTTTATAGGCACGCAAGTGTGCTGAATATTGACAAAAAAGGTGTTAGTAAAGTAAAATATTTTAATGTGAAATTAATTTTGATTACAAGTTATAGTTAAAAATAAATTTTTATCATTAAATTTTAAAAATAATTAAATAAAACTATAATTAAAATTAAAAAATAAAAATATTATCCTAAACAAAATCTCTATCTTCACAATTTTAATAACTGTAGGCTGCCACCTCCACAATTCTAGAAAATTCTTAATAATAAGATTTATCTGTTTAGAGATAAGAAGAGATAAGGATGCTCTGAAGCCACCTGCTTGGATTATCCGCAAATTTGTCCCCAAGCAATATAATCTGAGAATTCTTTTGTATTACTTCTAATGAACAATTTATAGCTTAAAATTTGTCAGCCTATTCAAAATTCAATAGAACTTCAAAGCATAATCATTCATCTTTTTAACAATCACTTGTGCCAATAATTAGTATTATAATTAGTCATTAAACCCATAATTAAAGAGGATAATTAGGAGGTTTCTAGACAACAATACAAAGAAATCAAGTAGATTTTTCTAGGTCATATACATCAATGATGCAATAAAGTTGAGAATTGGGATAATATGCTTCATTTGAGATTATTTTCTTACTATTTTCTAAAGCAGTTTTCAATACAAAAATTTTGAGTGCAAGATAATTATGTGCTAGAAAATTATTTTAGAAAATAGTAAGATAGTTGTTCCAAACAAAACTTTAGTCAAAGACTTTCCAACGTTAACTTTTTTATTTCATTTGAGACATCAATTCAACTCGAGGTGAGTTAATTTCACATATGTGATATAATTTCATGTTTATAAGTAAATACAAGATTAGTCTGCAAAACACTTCTAATGCTTTGATTATAACATTAACAAGCATTGGGGGGTGCTCGGTACCGAGCGGTACCGAGCACCCCCCAATGCTTGTTGCGGACGGTTCTCCCCGTCCGCACTCCACACCTAATAATCTCTCGAAGGTGGGATAGGCTAAAGACAATGGTTAGAGTAATGTAAGAATGTTACAAACGACATTACGGATGAATAGTGAAATATAAATTAAAATTTAACTTTGAGATAGTTGGTACTTATGCTTCGTTTGAGATTATTTTCTTACTATTTTCTAAAGCAGTTTTTAATTCAAAATTTTTGAGTTCAAGATACTTGTGTACTAAAAAATTATTTTAGAAAATAGTAACATAGTTGTTCCAAACAAAACTTTAGTCAAAGACTTTCCAACGTTAACATTTTTATTTTATTTGAGACATACCAAATCAACTCGAGGTGAGCTAATTTCACATATGTGATATAATTACATGTTTATAAGTAAATACAAGATTAGTCTGCAAAACACTTCTAATGCTTTGATTATAACATTACAATCACACATCGAATCATGACGCTTAGGCTTCGTTTGGGATTGCTCTCTTACTGATTCTTCAAGCAGCTTTTTATTAAAAAAAATTTATATCTTATACTAAAAAACTGTTTTAAGAAGCAGTAAGAAAGCCATCCTAAATGAAGCCTTAATCATCCATGCTTGAAGCTTGGCCTATTTTAGGCCACCTAATGAATCTTTATACTTTGTCCTCAAGGCAGGTTGTTTTATTAGGAGCGATAGTTTTATCTATCTATTTGACTTGAATACTTTATGGAGTAATAAAAGATATTTAATCACTAAGATAATTTTAGAAATCAAAAGTTATAATCATTTTATCTCCGTTTGATAGATTCAATATTTTAAATATTAAATATATAAATACATAAATGTCGCATGAAAAGATATTATTGAAGGAAGGCGGTTGGAGTTTACATTGAATATTTTCACCTTAGATTTACTTGCATCAACATCTTCGATTATATTGTTAACCATAATTAATAATATAAAAATTGCTTTGGATTGAGCTTAATCAATCTTCACAATAAATTGAAGTTAATGAGTCATATGTAAATCGAATATGTGACAAAGATGAAGAAGCAGGGAGACAGAGGAAACCTCAGAGAAAGAGGAGCAGGGAAAACAAGAAATAAAACGTCTTATTACCAAATGAGATATACAGTGCTATATAAATAGAGGCATGAAGCCGGTCTTAATGGAAATAGAAAATACAATGTTTTAATTATATTCTAATATGGTCCCTCAAATTAATCATTCTTTTGAGCGAATGGTTAATTTGTGTCTAAGATCATGAAATCTTGAAATGGAGAATGGTTTGGTCAGTATGTCTGCCACTTGATCCTTGGATGGTATGTGTGCGAGGTTGATCTCCCCGGAGCTAATTTGTTGACGGATGAAGTGGTAGTCAATCTCTATGTGTTTTGTGCGTGCATGGAAGACAGGATTCTTGGCGATGGCTATTGCAGATGTATTGTCACAATGTATAACGGTGGGATTGGGTTGAGGCAGCTGAAGTTCGCAAGCTAAGCGGCGAAGCCAGAGTACATCGGATGCCGCAGCTGAGAGTGAGCGGTACTCAGCTTCTGTCGAAGATTTGGCCACCGTGACTTGCTTTTTCACTGTCCAGGAGAGAAGATTTGACCCAATGAAAGTGCAATATCCTGAAATAGACTTTCGATCATTTGTGTCGGATGCCCAATCTGCATCCGAATAGGAATGAAGCTCCAATTTGCCGATGGTTATGGGCAGACCGAAAGAGATTGTGCCGTTGATGTATCGAAGTAGGCGTTTGAGGTCTTTGAAGTCTTGCTCGGTTGGGGACTGCATGTGTTGGCATACCCGATTCGTGGCGTAGGCAATGTCTGGCCGGGTGATCGACAGATACTGAAGTGATCCCGCGAGACGGCGGTAGAGTGATGGATCCGAGAACGGAGGACTGAGAGCGGTCGGTGGGCGAGTCTTGTTCGTGATAGGTGTCGGGGCCGGCTTGCAGTCCTTGAAACCTGCATCATTGAGGAGTTTGGTAGCATAGTGTTCTTGGGATAGAAAGTATCCGGTTGAGGATTGAGTTACCTGGATGCCAAGAAAGAGAGAGATGTGTCCTAGTCGTTTGAGAGCGAATTGGTTTTGTAGCTGATGGAGAAGTCTGTCGATAGCAGTTGTGTTGTTGCCGGTAACGAGAAAGTCATCCACGTAGATTAAGATGTATAACTGAGTCTGTCCGTTGTGAAGAAGAAGTAAGGACGGGTCCGAGCGGCTGAAGGTGAATCCTTGTGATTGGAGAAAAGAAGTAAGTTTTTGGAACCATTGACGAGGAGCCTTCTTCAATCCGTATAGAGATTTATGAAGTTTGCAGACTGCCGTTGGGTTGCTGGAGTCGATAAATCCAGGAGGCTGCCTCATGTAGATGTCATCCGGCAAGTCTCTGTGTAGGAAGGCATTGGAGACGTCTAACTGGTGCAGTGTCCATTGACGATGAAGAGCGAGAGTTAGGAGGAGACGAATAATCGGCATTTTAGCTACGGGACTGAATGTCTCGGTGTAATTGATGCCATACTGTTGATTGTAACCGAGTGCGACAAGTCGAGCCTTGTGACGATCAATCTGATCGTTTGGTAGAGTCTTCGTTTTGAAGGTCCACTTGCAGCCGAGGACAGGTTTGTTGGTTGGTGGAGGTACCAGAGACCAAGTTGTTTG